GTAAAGCACCTTAAGACCCTTCCATCTATGAAGAGTATTTGATTCTACCATATCTGGGTCTTGAGAAGAAGATTTTTGAAATTTTAGTCAATTTGACCCTTTTTGGCCCCACCCCTCAGGCCCCTGTTTACGGACGCACGACGGACGACAGACGGCGGACAAAAGGCGATCGCAATAGGTCACTTGAGACTTTAATTTGTCTCAGGTTACCAAAAAAGAAGGAAAAGCAGTTTTTCTTAATTTAACATTTAAGTATTTCTTTTGGTTATGAAAATGTCCAACCTCTGATATTTTAAAGAGATTAATCAAAGGAAAACCAAAACCTCCCATCAACTAATAACCTTTGATCCCTTCTCTACATAACACATCCCCACAATACGACCCACCATTTCCTATACTTAAAGTATAAAACTCTTTATATATAGCACACAACCTTGCCCTACTCCACATAACATACAGTTCCCAGTACATTTTTGTCGTTCAAAGTTGATCTTGTTGGAGATTTTTAGAAAAGATTTTAAGGGTAACACTACCAAACCATGCATGTACATATACCACCTGCCCACAGGGTTGTGGTAGCCAAGTTTCCTCTGGCCCTGACATCAGATTTAGACATTTTGAAAAATAGATGCCCAAACCAGACATCTATGAATGGTATCTGTCATAATGTCTAAGTTTGGTGTCAGGGCCAGAGGAAACTCGGGCTTAGGTTGTGGATGCCATACTTGGGTAGAATCTACAAATAGCATTACCTGTGTTTCCTCAGGAAAGTGTATGTCGTCTGTGGGACCAATAATACAACTCGGAAATTTGTTGAAGATGACAGGCTCCACGGGAACCGGGGCATTCTGCTCTTCACAGTGATCCTTGTAATTCATCCCGATACACAGCACTTTGTCAGGGTTGTAGATTGGGGCAATGACCTTGACCTCTGACCTGGGCACTTTATACTGACCGCTATCTACAGCACTGTCAACAATTATAATAAATATTCAGCTCATTCATTTCAAATCTGATGTCATGTATCATCAGGCTGATTGAGATTAAGAGAAATTCCAGAAGCTTTTTAAAGAATAAATTTAACCCTATTAAACGCAAGCTTAAAATGGCAAGATCATGCAGAAAAAACCTTCATATTATAACAGAATGCATATGATGTGAAGAAAAATGTCCCTAAGGTCATTAAGGGGTCACCAAGATTGAGATCTAGAAGATGTACAAATATTTCTATATTAAAAAAAGGTATTATCAAAATATTTTATAAAAAAAGTTATGTAGAAACAGCATTTCAGACTTTAACAGTATTATGTTCAAAATAAGCCAAAAGACATTATTGTAATAGTCAGTTTGCACAAAAAAGTAGTGTGCACTGTACATTGTACTTGTAAGCATGTACAAATATAGGAAAGTTGAAACACAGATTTTTTTAATCATAATTTCATAAAAACACTTATTTCATTACCACACTTAAAAGAAGTAATGCGGATTTATAATAAAACCAAAGAATTATGAAAATATATAATTGTGACAAAATCCTAAACTTTCAACACTTGCATTCCCCATACAGTACAATATTTAAATATATATATATATATATGTACTGACGTTATTGCAAGGATTTGCTTCTCAACACAATGAATTTCTTTCACTGTTCTTATAAAATTTCTGAAGATCGCATAAAATCAACTCTTTCTAAAGCTAACTTTTATATTATAACAGAATGCATAATTATGATCAGTTCAACCATGGTGGCAGTTTTACTGGTTAAAGGGAGATTACTCTGTCACCTTTTGGCCGCCTGGATGTTTGCTTGTCCGCCTTCAATAAAGCTTCTCATGTCGGTAGGCAAGGCTGGTTTTACTTGTGACAGGTCGACGATGTCACCCCCGGGAGCGGTCTCCACGCCCACCAGAGATTTACCATCACGCAAAAACTGTAACAACCTCATCGCCGGAGTATTTGTGGTGGAGTAACAACGCTTTAAGACTTCGACCCCAGCTGTTACTCCTCTACGGAACATTTCTGCCTTGTTCATTACATATACCAATAATTCAAAGTAGTACCCGAACAGTAGATTGTGTCATGTGATCGTTACTTTCATTTCTGCAGTATTTATCGCACTACGAAGGAATGTGTGTTAAGTAACCAAATAATCTGTCCGCGGCAAAACATTTGCGAACATACACAATAAATACAAATCAAAGGCAGGGTTCCCAAACGGACCATATTTTTCAAAAGTATTTGCTGATTTTATGAGCGAAAAGAAGAATAACAAATTATCTTTTTGAATATAATAATAAAAAATAATGGGGGGGGGGAATGTAGGTACCTGAACAAGTAAAAATAAAAATTGTGTACTGATATACTAATATAGGTACCTTAACAAGTAAAAATAAAATTGTGTACTGATATACTAATATAGGTACCTTAACAAGTAAAAATAACAATTGTGTACTGATATACTAATGTAGGTACCTGAACAAGTAAAAATAAAAATTGTGTGCTGATATACTAATGTAGGTACCTTAACAAGTAAAAATAAAAATTGTGTACTGATATACTAATGTAGGTACCTTAACAAGTAAAAATAACGATTGTGTGCTGATATACTAATGTAGGTACCTTAACAAGTAAAAATAAC